GTGGCAGGACTGATTCTCTCCACAGACACTCTCAGGGAGCTGGGGAAGTGGTGAAGTGATGAAAGGATGCTACTTCACAGCTTTTTTGGGTTCTCAGTGATGGTTAGAGGAGCAGGCTTTGAACTCTGGCTCTGACCTGCAGTAGATAAACACGTGCCTTTGCAGGCCTGGTGTATCTCACTGCTCTTCTGCCTTCGAGAAAGGAGAGCAAACAAGTCTGGCAGATGGTTTCAGCCATGTCTGCTTGGCCATGGCAACCTGAGATGGGCACCAGGACCCAGGCAGGACCTCTTTTGTCCCCTCCCTCCCCGGGGCACAGCACTGCTGCTGATTAACCTCCTCTCCTCTCCTCTCTGCGATCTGGGGTTGGTAACTAGGTCACGGCCACTCATGGCACACCCCCTGAAGAAAAGGGGGTCAGTGGGGGCTGCAGGAGCTTCTCTGGGAGGAGAGGGCTGGGCAGGTGGGAAGGAGCTCAGCAGTGGCAGCTCCACCCTCCAGACCCAGACCTCCAAGCAGTTTAGAGCCAGTCTGGCTTTGGGAAAAGGAGATTCCAGCAGCCTGGCAAGGGTTGGGGCATCCTGCTGCTTACAGGGTCTGTCCTGCCCTTGATCCAGGCCTGGCACGATGCTGCTGGGAGCCAGGGTGACCCCTGGAGATGGCTGGGGACCAGATGCCACCCACGGGGAAGAAAAATCATGGAGGGCAAGGCTGAGGCTGGACCAACCCCATTGGGGGAGTTCTGGTCTCAGGGAAAGGGTGAGAGGAGGGGGAGGAGGAGGGGGAGGAGGAGGCTCATGTCACATCGAGTTGTTCATGTCCAAGGTGATGCTGCTCTGAGTTTTTTGTAGGAGAGCCAGCAGTGTTTGGTTAGGACAGCACAACCAGAGAGGAAAGGGCTGGGTAATGACGATTGCTGCAGGATCATGGAATGGCTTGAGGTGGAAGGGAACTCACAGACCATCTCCTTCCCTGCCCACCCAGCCTCCAGAGGCTCTCTGGGATCACAGAGGCAGGGTGAAGGATTGCCATATGCTGTTAACGGGGACACAGGGACTCCTGCTGAGCTGTTTGTCTGTGTGATGATGAAGACAAACCCTCCCTGTGGGAGGGTCTGGAGGCATTCCCTGTGACACCAGCTGCCCTGAAAGACCTTTCCTGAAGGCACCAGCTCCTTCCAGCAGGGCAAGGACAGGGTCTCTGTGCCTCCAGCAGGGCAAGGACAGGGTCTCTGTGCCTCTGCGAAGCAGCAGAAGAGGGAACCACTGTGGGGACTGGCCAGGAGGGGCTGCAGAGGGGAGCAGAGGGGTTGGAGCGCTCACCCCTAGCGGAGCTGCTGCCCCGGGGGAGCCACGGGCCGGTGCCACCCGCTCCCCCCCCGCCACACCGGAGCCTCCGGGAGGTGACAGCCCACGAGGTGGCACCAGAGCCCCGCCGCAGCCCGGCACCGGCACCGAGAGGACGCGGCGGGATCCGTGAGCATCCTCCCGCCTCGCCTACCTGGTACCCTCCGGGCATCCCCCATGGGCATCCCGGCACCCAGCGGGCATTCCAGTCCCTGTGGACACCCCAGAGCCTGGCAGACATCCCCAACACCCAGCAGACATCCTGGTACCCTGCTGGCCTCCTTGGCACCTGCCACACCTCCTTGTATCCTGTGGGTATCACCTGGCAGGGCCCCCCCAGCACCCTCTGGGCACCCCAGCACTTGGCCCTTAATCCCTGAGCAAAGAGGACCAAGGAGGAAGGACAGGGCTTGCTTTTCTGCAGTATCTCTACAGGGAGATAAAGGGTATCCCATGTGTCCCAGCACCTGCTGGGCATCTTGGCACCCTCTGGGTATCCTGGCACCCTCCGGGCATTCTGACACACCCTCTGGGCAGCAGTATCTCAGCAGGGAGACACTGGTGATCTAACCTAAGTGCCATAAGGTGGTTAGATCACAGGGACAGCTTGGTTCCAGGGAGGATGTTCTCCTGCAGAGTAAAGGCCGTTCCTTCCCAAAACAGCCTTACCAGCAAGAATTGTCCCTAAACAGGCAGGGAGGCTGCTTGGCATGTGTCACTTTGCACAAGTCCTGCGTGTTTTGCTGGGTGATGTGCAGAGGTGCCTCAGTAGACATCTGAATAGTGATGTTAAATAGGAGAGGCTCATTTTGACACCCAGGCACTGTAAAATCTGCGAGCTGTCAATATTGTGACAGCCAAAGCCCTGGGCTGTTGTGTCCTAAAAAAGCAATCAGTCCTCCTTCAGTGCCACTTCCTGAGGGAAACATATCAGAGCTCCAGCAGGGATCAGAGTGCAAAAACACACCCGGCTCAACTCCTGCTAACGAGCAAACAGCCCTGGCTTGTCCCCATTATAATCCCCCTGCCGTGAGCCCGGTCAGGGGTATAATGTGATTGTTTTCATGGCTATTTGTGGCTACCTGAAACCCCACCACTGCTCTTCAGCACATAATAGCCCTGAAGAGGGACAGTTTCCATCTCCACATATGATTGTGCCCATTACTGTATCTATATTTTATTAGTGGCTGTCGCAATGTACATTAAGGAGATGCACATTTATCGCTGTGCTGGATAAAGCTCAGCTTTGAAACCTCGAGGAGACATGGCATCAGATTAAACGAAGTCAAAGGACAACTTCTGCCTTTTTCAAAGGCTTGATTCTGCTTCCACAAAGGCACAATTCTCCCTGGCTACAGAGGGAGAGGGGTTGGTACCTTGTCCACAGCTCCATGTGGGCTGGATGAACGCCCTGGGGAGATGTGTCATACTCCCCCCTCCAGCACAACGCTCAGAGGGTGAAATCCTCATGCCAGAGACACTCATGCTCTAGAAGTTCTGAATGCTGCCTATCAACTCTACAGCTTGTCCACAGAGGTCAGGGCATGTGGGTGCAGGTCTGTATTCCCAGGAGCACATCCCTAGAAACAGCTGTAAATCCACAGTGGCACTGAGTGGGTATTTAAACTGCCTTTCCCTGCGGGGCATGCTGCTTTTTAGCCACCCAATGGTCCCTTTTAGCTCTATTCTGTTTCTTATCCCTGGGGTTGAAGCCAAAAATGCTCCAGCAAGGAATCACATTCAAACACTGCCTTTCTCATTAACAGGATGCTGTGGGGAGAGATTAAATGCTGGGCTGGAGGTTGGCTTGGCCTGGGAGCAGGCAGAGGCTGGAGGGCTTCACTGCCTGCAGCTCCCTGATTTGGAGGCAGGACAGGGGTGGTTTGTACTTCTCCATCCCTCCGAGCATCCTGCTGCCCTGCCACCCACACCCAGGGGCAGTGAGGAGCTGGGCAGAGCTCCCATCACCCACACACTGCCTGCCCAGCAGCGTCTCAGCTGCTTCACAGGGCTTTAGGGCCATTTGCAAGATTGGAAAATACCAATCTTGAAGAGATGCTTCCAGAATGTAGGAGGTGAGCACAGGCCACCTCTATCCTGGTTGCTTTTCCTAAAAGGAGAAGCCTTGAAAGGTGAACTGAAAGCCAGGTGGTTGGTCCAGCCAAGGCAGAGCAGTCTGGGTGGGACAAAACAAGAGAGAAAACACTGCTCTGCTGCTCCTGGAGTCTTTTCTGCAAGAGAACAAATTAGGCTGAGGATTTCAGGCATTTTCGTGATATTCAAGCCCGTGCTGCACAGGCAGGAAGGTCCAGGGAGAGAAGAGGCAGAATGTGTTGTGGTAAAAGATAGGCAGTGAAGGCTATTTTGGATTCCTTTAGTCCTTTGCCTGCCAGAGCAGCAGGACCTGCTCAAAAAAAAACTTTTCTGTTTACAAAATCTCTGCAGACAGAGGGGGAAAAGCCTTAGAGTCAATGAAGCCAAATATTCTGCTCATTTGCATACGCTAATGAGGGCTTCTAGGAGCCATGAAAAGCAAGACCAGGCTTTGATGTCAGCTGGAGAACAGCTCCAGCATCGAGCAGTGCCCAGTGCCAGGAAGGACCCCCACCCACCTGTGCCCAGGCTGAGGGGTCTGTAAACAGCACAGCCCCCATCAGTGGGGAGCAGGAGGTGATGCAGGGCAGCCCACAGTGACTGAGAACTGCGGGAGGATGAGGTGCAGTGTCCCCCCACCACTGGGGCTCAGGGACAATTCAGTGCAGCCCCCCCATCTCCGGGGAGCAGGGGATGATGCAGCGCAGCATCCTCCATCCCTGGGGACGATGCAGTGCAGCCTCCCCTCCCGATCCCTGGGGTTCGTGGGATGATGCAGTGCAGCCCCACATCCCAGGGATCAGAGAACGATGCAGTGCAGCTTCCCACATCCCTGGGGGCGATGATGCAATCCCCCCCATCCCTGGGGATGAAGATGCCATCTCCCCATCCCTGGGGATGATGCAGAGCAGCCCCACACCCCTGTGGGCCAGAGGAGAATGCACTGCAGCCCCCATCCCTGGGGAGGAAGATGCAGTCCCCCCCAACCTTGGGGATGATGATGCCATCCCCCCATCCCTGGGGGTGATGCAGAGCAGCCCCACACCGCTGTGGGTCAGAGAACGATGTACTGCAGCCCCCATCCCTGGGGATGAAGATGCAGTCCCCCTCATCCCTGGGGATGATGCAGAGCAGCCCCACACCCCTGTGGGTCAGAGGAGTATGCAGCCCCCCATTCCTGATTCCTGAGGGACACGGCGCAGCGCAGCCCCCCATCCTTGGGGGCGATGATACAATCCCCCCATCCCCGGGGGCGGTGATCCCCCCCATCCCCGGGATACAATCCCCCCATTCCCGGGGGCGGTGATCCCCCCCATCTCCGGGGGTGTGATGCAATCCCCCCATCCCCGGGGGCGTGATGCAATCCCGGGATCAGCAGACGAAGCCGCCCCCTCCCCGCCCCGGTTGCGGTAACGCGGCGCGGCGCGTCCCGGTCCCGCCTTGGCCCCGCCCCCTCCCCGCCAGGCCCCGCCCCGGTCCCGCCCCGCCGCGGTGGGCGTGGCCTGCTGTCGCGGTGGGCGTGTCCCGCTGGCCCCGCCCCTGGGCCGTTACTTGCCGCCCCTCCCCTGCCCTCCCCCTCCCGCCGGCCGCGCGCTCCCGCTCACCGGCGCCATGGCGGACCAGCCCGAGGAGGGGGCACCGGCACCACCGGCACCGCCGGCACCGGCACCCCCGGTTCCCCCCGCCGCGCTGCCCCTCTCCGCCCCGCCGGGCGGCTCCCAGCGCCTCCTCTTCTCCCACGACCTGGTGTCGGGCCGCTACCGCGGCTCCGTGCGCTTCGGCCTGGTGCGCCTCATCCACGGCGAGGACTCGGAGGAGGACTCCGAGGAGGGCGGGCGCGGGACCACGGCCGGCGGCGCCGCCAGCTCGGGCGGCTCCGAGTCGGGAGGCCCCGGGGCCGGCGGCGGGGAGGACGGCCGCGCCAGCCCGCTGCGGCGGGGCTACGTGCGGGTGCAGTGGTACCCGGAGGGCATCAAGCAGCACGTCAAGGAGACCAAGGTAACCGGGGCGGGGGGCGGCCTGCTCGGGCCCGGGGCCTCCCCGAGCGGGGCGCCGCCTCGGAGGCCTCCCGGGGCAGGGCCTGCGGGGTCGGGTGCGTTGGAGGCTCCCGAGCGGGGGGGAGCTCGCTGCCCCGTTTCCCCCGTGCAGCCGGAGCGGAGAAGGGGGACGGTGTTCTCCGGAGTGTGAAATCCCCTTCCCTCCCTTCATCACGCTCGCTCTGGCAGCCCGGCGGGGATGCTGCTGCTGCCCTGCGCTGGTGGCAGAGCACGGCTGCTGTGCTGAGGCACTGGGGCTCGCTGGCGGAAGGAGAAGAGGGCCTGTGAAGGTGATTTGAGCCAACTTCCAGACAGCTCCTACTTGCTGGAGTTGTAGGCCGGCGTCTCAGCCTTTATTGAGCAGTGTCGTCACCGCCTGTGCTAGGGGAGTCAGCAGTCCAGCAGGGAAACCACCCCTGGATAAAGGTTTCGGCAGGAAGCAAACACGGTTTGGATCTGCCCTTGTTTACGTGAGCATTTACCCCTTGCTAATGAGTTGCACGTAAATCTGTGGCATCTTAATTATATCTGACGAGCCACAAGGTGTAGGTCTGCCTTGGAATACTCCCACTTTGCAAAGTTGGTCTGGCCGGGGGTTTTAGCCCGGGCTGACTGACAGTTCGGAGACAAAAGCAGGCGAGGGGGGCACTGTAATAGAGCACAAAGGGGCTGCCAGGGATGGGCGTTGCACTGAGCTGCACTGTCCCTGCAGGCTGCCCCTGCTCCTCTGGGCTGGCAGTGCAAAGCAGGAGGCTTCTGGAGAACTGTCTGCTTCGCAGAAGGCAAAGAAACGGCCCCACACGCCGCAGGAGAGAGGGGAGACTGAGAGGAAGAAAGGTGTGCTGCAGTCTTAAAGGCATCGCTAGGATTGCCAGCGCTACAGAATGAGCTAAATTTAGGTGGTAGTGTCATTAGACACGTGACTGCTTGGAGATAAGGAAAATGAAAACAGGTATTCTGAAAAGATACTGCCACATTATGTATTTCTACATTAAAAAAAAAAAACACCGAAAAACACAACACCTCTTTTCTCTAGAAAAACTCCACAATTCAATCACTGCAGCCTTCCAGTAAAATCTTCATGTGTTGTTGCAGCAAAAATGTGTCCCAAGTTCAGTTTGGTTTTCAGCATCTAAACAAAGCCACTTCCATTTGGGTGAGTAATCGTGGATTTGGTTGATCCTGTTGGGTTCCTAAATCCAGAAGTGTTAGCTCTGACTTCAGTCACTTGGTAACTGCACCCATTGCAGTGTTAGAAAAAGCTGGGCTGAGGAGGATCAGAAATCAAAGACACTTATGTAAATAAACAATCTCTGTTTTTCCTTTTAGTGCTGCTGCCCTGGTGTAGGTGCCTTTACCACTCGGGTAATGGACCCTGGAGAGAAGTTTCCTGAGTGCTAGAGAAATTTAGGTGTACTTCTATTGATTTTTTTTTTTTTTTGGAAAGCAGCCCACTAACCAAATTGAGAGGCATTGTGTACAGTCTGCACTGCAGTTTGGGGTTGCTGAAAACAAACCTGATGCCACTGGAAACATGCAGTGGGACTGATCATGGTTTTGTGGTTATAATTGGGTTTTTTAGCTGTTTGCTGACCCAGTCTCTTTTGGGTTCCACTGATGTGTGAGAACCAGCCAGGTAAACCTGACAAGCTTGTCATTGTCCTTGCTGGTACAAACCATTATGTGGTTTGCCTGGGTCTAAAGTTTTTGGTGCTGTTGCCTATGGGTACATCTTTTTGCTGTGCCTGACTCTCTAGTGTCTTTGGCTGTGAGGGTCTTATTTGATGTCCTTAAAACATTAACCTGTCCTGGTGACAACTCAGCCCTGGACTCCAGAGAATGCTTGTTGCACTCTTATTTCCCTTAAATCTGGAATGGGCAGGGGGTAAAGGTGCTCTTGGGGCCAGGGTTTTTGTGTGTCTATTTAGTGTATCAGGTCCTGATTCCACACAGAAGACTGCCTGTCTACCTCCTGTTTGTCAGGTGCTTCAGGATCTGGGAATCCTGATGTGTGTACTGGATAGAGCAAGTGTTGTAACTGAAGGAGAAATAAAGTTGTTGGAAAGTTTGAGTCCAGTGAAACAGCACCTTTGGCTTCCAGTGCAAAGGTCAAAAGCAGTTTTCTGTACCCAATTAATCCTTGAGCTTTCCTGTCTTTTCTTGGACAGTTTGGGTTTTTTGGTGTAGGTTGTCCAGTAATTTTTGCTGTTGGTTCTGGTTCAATGCTTGCTGTTGGTCTTTCCTGTTGGGAATGGTAGGCAGAATGCCACTTAAACCCAGGCACACAATTACTGATATTAGTCAGTAATAGGAACTTTCTCTTGAGATAGAGCTCAGCAGTTGGTGCAAAGCCCCACCAGCTCCTCCAAGAATTCCACATGTGAGCACATTCCTGCCTTTGGTTCCCCTGTTGATAACAATGTTCCCCAGCATAAAAATGATGTGAATAAAAAGAGCCAGGATTTCTTTCTCTGTGGCTTCAAGTGCTCCTTTCCTGCTTTCCATGGCAGTATCACCCATTTAAGACACTGGGAAATCACTGTTGCTGAGCATTGTAAAACCTAAGCAGACCTGGAAGGAGAAAGCTTCCCTTTCCAAATATATTTGCCATCTATGTCTTGTCTGACCCAACAAATCTGCAGAGCAGTTCCTCTGGCTGGCTAATGCCATATCTCTGGAGGTAATTTGGAAGGCAGGTTTGGGAGTACTGTGAACTGCTGTGAAAACCTGATGCTTTTTTTAAATAAATTATCAGGAGTTCTTGGGACCCAGCTGAATTTTAATTTCAGGATCTCTCTGCTGTAGTTCAGCACTCCTACTGCACACTTGAGCTGCCTTTGAGAGGTTTATGGGAATGCTTGAGCACACTAGGTATTAGTCAGGTTCTGGGGACTTTAAAACGCTGCTGTCCTTCCTCCTGCCTCTCCCCTGAAAGCCTCAGAGCTCCCTACAACCTTTCATTTTCACAAAGCCTGGGCAGGGCAGATAGGCCTCTTGTGCAGCTGGGGGAAATGGAGAGTGCAGGTGTTGTGTTTCACCACCTTATCTGAAGGCCTTCAGCCAGCCAGGCCTCCTGAGTTCCCTGTGCCTGCCCTGGGGCTGAGGGCTTGCTGTGATGCACAGGCAGGTCTGGCTCATGTATTTGTAGGGACCATTGCAGGAGCCCAGGTTTGCTCTGAGTCCATGTGCAATTTAAAAAAAAAAGGGTTTTGCAGCCTATTTTGTAAGGTCCAAAATATGATTTAGTTTAGATGACTCTCTTACTGTGGCAAGCACATTTCTCTCCTTCTCAGGATTTTTCATAGAGGTGCACAGAGAGAAATGAAAGAGAAAACAATTTCTATTTCTGCTCCTTGTTTTTCCTGTGTAGAATGTATTTGGAAAATTGTTTACCTGGAGTAAATGCTTGATTGGATTCTGGTGAGGATTGAGCCTGATGGCCAGTCCAATCCACCTGTGTCTAGACTCTCAGGAGAGGGTCACAAGTTGAGTTAGAGTTAGAAATAGGGTCAGAGAAAGTACTATGTAGTTTTAATAGCCTCCTTTTATATAGTATATTAATGTATTTTAGCATAGTTATAATAAATAATTCAACCTTTTGAATTAAGTTAGACATCGTCATCTCTTCCCATTGGGTTCACCTGCATTTACAATATCTTACCTCATCCAACTTTGCTTTGGAAACAGATTGAAACTATCCGGCCTCCTCAGACATAAGCTGGTGGCTGATAAACTCATTACCTGGAAATTATCTGATGTTATCTCCAAAAGGTTCTCCAAGAATTCAGCTCTGCTTCATCCCACACAGAGCTTCTGCTCTTTTCCAGTCTTCACTCCTGTAATTTCCTGACCTCAGATATTGGGTCATGGATCTAATACAAGGTCACAGGAGGACTTTCTGAAGAAACTGCAAGGTCTCTGTTTTCCCTCTGTCCATTCACAGCCACTCTGAGCCCTCACTTTTGGGATCCCAGCCCACCAGCATGTGCCCTTCAGGTGTTAATCCTAGCTAGTGACTCTGCAAATTACTTACAACTGAGGCATGAAAACAGCCTTAAAAAATCTTCCATCTTCAAAGCTGGCGAGGTGTTTGCCATCTGGAAGTGCAGTGTGGGCACACTGGCAAGTGAAGAGGGACAGCAGGATCCTTTTTGGGGCTGTGAGGAAATGCTGGCCATAGAGCCAAACTCTGGTTCTGTTGCAGCACACAAATCCCATGCCCATAAACTATTAATAGTGGGTTTTACTGCGTGAGGAAGCTGTATCTAACCCTCTTCTTGCATCTGACATTTCAGTTAGTCTCCCAGGGGGGTTCTTTGAAACCACCTGATGTTTGTAGCTGTTAAGAGACAGAAGAGAAAAGGTTTACTGGAATTTTTGCAGTTCTGCATAATATAGAACCAATTAATGTGTGACCTTTCCATCCTGTGGGTATCCATTGCAAAGTTAGGTACCCTTGGGTCAATTCCCCATTTTGCTTTGATTTGTTTGGCTCTTGTGATACAGACTTGGGGATCATCATTAATATTTTATTGGAAAAGTGGAATCCGGCACAATCCACAGTGTGGAAGTCTCAGGAGTACTAAATATGGTACACTGTTACTGCTTTGTGTACTGTGTGCAGAGTGAATTGGTAATTCAGGAGTTGAAAGTGGCCATCTGGGCTAGGTCATTTATTATAATAATTCCAAATGGAGACAGGAGTGTTATTTTTAAAATGAACGAAGCCTGTCCTCAAGCAGTGTTTGTGATGTGCTCTCTTCCAAGGTGTGCTCCCTTTCAGTGTGCTGCTATAGCTTAAAAAAACCCCAAACTAAATTAGTAATGCTTTTAGGACTAGTAAACAAAGTAATGTGCACTAAAAGCTTTAGAAGGAATCAATCGATGCCTGTGACAGGCTCTAAAATACCTGTGTGGGTGAGACATTTTGCTGCAGCTTTCTCATACAAATTTATTTGCTGA